AGTGATCAAGTCACTGCTTTGTTTTCTTCCAGGCAGGAAACAGTAGCCCTGTGCTTGTCCAAATTATAAATACCCACAGGAACTTTGATCTATAAGTCATTACCAGTGTTGCCAAGTCTCATGAGAAAAAAAAGCAGCACTGCCTTTAAAAACAAGCCCAAAACAAGCCCAACCCATTTCAAAGAGAGGGGAATGGAGGTGCTTATCAATCCGCAACTCTCAAAAAATTAAAGCAACTTTAAAAAAACAAAACAAGCCCAATTCCACGTATTATAAACAGTCTTGGCAACACTGGTCATTACACATAAAAGGGATACAAAAGTTAATCTTCTGGGTGCTCTTGCTCCCCTTGGTTGGTCTGATATTAGCTAGAAAAAGGTTTACCTGTACTCATCATTGGGGTGTGCAATCTCCACCACATCTCCCAGTTTGATCTGAAGAAACACTTTGGGGTTCACCATCAGTTCATCATCTGAAAGATAAGCACAGCAAATCACTGAACCAGTCTGCAACTAACAGATATAAATTAACCACGAGTCCTTATATATTTAAGTATATTGGACAGTACTACATTAACTTCTGCTAAATTATTGTTTATTTTCTATAGCTCCTCTGGCCAGACTGAAATGACACAATTTTGGGATCAGACACCCTTTCATTCTTTCAGATCACAGCATTGTCAAACATTTCTTGAGAGAAAAAATATATCAGATAAGTATCCTGAATTTTCATGTTCCTTGTTTCTCTCCTTTGGCAGAAAGGCAGGAAATTTTAAATAATTGGTTAAAATAGCTTAATTAATATATTATGATTTTGAACCCAATGTGACAGTGGAAACCAAAACCCAGAACCTGGACAACTTAACAGCCGAGTCTCCAAAAAGCACATTCATTAAACCGTTTTCTTAATCCCGCTTGAGTTCTGGACTACCAAATGGTTATGATTTATCAAGGGAGGACAGAGAGATGTCTGGTCAAAATTTTCTTGGAAACATCAAAACACTATCTGGCCACTAGGAAATTCTTAGAAAAAATGAAAATCTATTCACATGCAACAACAACAAAATGCACCAACTGACACAGAGCTCCTCGCTCCTGCCAAAAAGTCATACACACCCTAAGCCCACACACTTCCACACTCAGCAGTAATATTATGTCACTGTTCTCTCTCTGGCCGATCTGTGGCTAAACCAGGATGGTGAAAAAGAAAAAAAATTATTAAAGGAAAGCAGAAGAGTTGGAACAAAATCAGCTTATTTTACACAAGACAATCCTTTCACTGTAGTCTGAAACTAACGGACTTTAATTTGTTTTCTGCTACAAAAGGACCTTTCACCTTTTGCTTCGTAACTCCTCAGATTACATCAAGGTTTTTTGTCTACCATTTTGTTTGAAATATCATCATAAATGGAAAGCAGCTTTACCTTCACCTGAGCAATATTATTGTAGACTTGCAATAAATATGTAACTAGCAGCTCCTATAACACTTTTGGTTCAGCAGATACTGACCACTGCCCCCGAAGCCCTTCTTGTGTATGACAAGCTTGTAGACCTTGTTGGTTCTCATCCTGAACAACGGGACTCCTCAGCTGCTCCAAGTTAAGAGTGTGGATGGCATCTTGTCTCCCTAGTAGAGAAAGGAAAAATTCAAACCTTTCCTTATTAAAACTCTTCTACATGGTCTGTGGTGATGTTCTGTGAGACTAGATCCTCTATATTTCAAGGATGAAACCATAGAGGGTTGAGTTTCACCAGTAATCCACTGGCACTCCACAACCCACATGCTTCTAACAAATTCTTGACTGCCAAACACTTCTTCCGTAACACTGCGCTGCATGCAAAAACACTACTGAGCCAGAAATCTGGTCCAACACATCAAAAACATAACTTCCTGCAATATGAACTATGAAATAATTGTATTATTACAGCAGTGGCACTTCTACCCAGCAGAGGGCACCGCTTTATTCCTGTAGGCATAGGCTCACACACCAGTTTATCACATTGGACTACATTCTGGTCAAGTATTTTAAATGAACACTACAACCAGATTTTTTTTGCTTCTTGCTGTTTTTACTTAAAACTGGAGACAGGATGTTTTCTTCCTGAAGGATCTTCACCTTTGCAGCTCACTCTCTTCCAAGCTGAACTTTATCAGCCTTGAGATCCTTTCAAGGGTACCACAGGGAGCCACACCATATTAGCACCATTAGGTTTGCAAACGTGTTTCACAAGATAAACCCAGAGACTTCATGTAGGAAGGCAGTGTTAAAAACACGCTGCCCTACTGTGGTCTTTCTTAGCTCTTTGCAACAGAAGAATAGCTCTATTATTTTTCTGTAGTCAAAAAATGAGTGAAAACTAAGAGCTGGCATTTTCTGAGTGGTGCTTTGTGTCTAAATGGTCAAGAACCACTTTTCCAGAGCCTGGTACATGGCTCTTAATGTCAGCCATGACCAAACAAGTTAATGATAACATTTTGTGTATCGCTTCGCTTCTTTCCAAGTTATACTGCAGCACTGCTTCATCTGCAACATGTTCAAATGTCATGTCAAGAGATTCAGTTGGGATCTTTAAGAGTCCTGCCTGGACTCAACCATTTCTCTGTTCACACAAATGGTAACTAACTAAACTCCCAAGGTAAAAAAAAGGAAAGTGGTATTTGGCTTGGATAGGAATCACCATGCCTGAGGCGGGGAGTTGAACTGTCCCTTCAGCGGGCAGAGGGAGACGCTGACACATAACACTCAAAAGCGCCAGGCTGCAGCCCCTACACACCTCCACCACCTCCTCCTCCTGAGGTTCTGGATGAACTTCATCCCTCGCCTTTTTATCTTTGGGTACCCCATCCGCAGCCCCACCAAGTCCAGAGACCTCCTGGTCAACCTCCTTGGCCCTAGCCAAGTGAGCCCTGTACATAACCAGGAAGGAAGCTCTGGCCAGGAGAGTGCCTGGCCTGGGGACTGCGGGGCCACTTTCCTCTCATTCATCCCTGCACATTTCCAGGCAGAGTCCACCAGCTCCTTGGATGCCTTTGAGGACCGGTAGGTGTGGCCAGGAAACTCTGCTCAGTGTCCCCCTCTGGAGCCCTTTTTCACATTTTGACCCTTTAGCCCCCATGTTACTCCTATCCTGCTTTTTCCTTAGTTGTCCCCCCCCAAAAAATTGGTTGTATTTCACCCTTTGACTCCACACAGTGGTGACCATTACTTAGATGGGTGGGCCTTAAGGCCCATGTTAACTGAAAGATACAAACAGACAGGTTCAGAGTTGGACTAGATCAGTGGTTCTCAACCTTTTGTACCTTGCACCCCACCTACGTAAGGTGAAAAAATCCTGGTCCCACCAGTCAATAAGCAGGGGGACAGCGGCCCCCCAGAGACAAGCTGAAGAGTGGGTGGGGGGAGGATCCTACAGCAGCGGATTGAAGCGTGTTGCCGCAGCCCAAGTCCCTCCTAGAGGACCCTCGCGTCCCACCAGTTGAGAAACCCTGGGCTAGATGACCTCTGGCCCGTCCAGCCTGACTTCTCTACAATTTGATCCAAAACAGAGCTTTCATAGAAACAAAGGTTTTCTGTCATCTCAGGAAATAAAAACCTGGATTTGGTAACTTGATTCTAAAGAACCAGAGACTTCTCGGCAGTTTGCAGCTCAAATATTCATCCCCAAGACCCTGAAGCGACAGAGCCTAGGCTATCCTCAACGCCCCAGGCCAGGGAGACCCAGAGAGCAGGTGGGAACCACCTGGAAATCTGCCTACGCTGTCCCAGACCAGGACGGGGCCTCTGCCCTGCAGCCCAGTCCTTCACGGGGAACAAAGCGCTCCTGCCTCCAGCTGTGGGGGCGGGAAACGGAGCGAGCCGGGCAGCAGCGCGACCCCGCATGGGAACCGGGCACGGGGCGCTGCAACCCGCCCCCCCGCCTCCGGCCCCAAGCCCAGGCCCAGCGCCCGCCTGCGCCCCCGTCCCCACAGCAACGACACCCGCGGGGCAGGCCACCCCTCACAGCCCGGGCGGGGCACGAAGAAGAGGGGAAACACCCCCCCAGCAGACACTGGGGCAGCGCGGCCCGACCTGCCCAGCTCCGCGTGTCCCGGCGCTGCCTCCAGCCCGGCCGGGGGCGGGTCCACGAGCTACAGCGGCTGCACCGAGCTGCTTCCGCATCCGGGCACTCGTAGGCCCCGTCACGTGACTGGGGGAGAAGCAGCGCGGGGCTGCGTGGGCGACGCGCCGAGCTCTGCAGGTGGTCTGTTCGCAGCTAGGGGAGTCGGTGTCTGCAGCCTGCCCGCGCCGCCGTGGGCCAGGCCACCGAGTGCCGGTGGCCGGGAGGGGCCCGGGGACGGGAGCTGCCCTAGAAAGAAGCCTAAAGGGGGGGGGGGCACTGGTGCGCTTCCCGCCTTGGCTTCCTGTTCCAGACCGGGTGCGTGGCTGTGGCCATTGAGGAGTCATTGATGTATTGGCCCATCATCATCCAAGCGGTGGCGCCCAACCTTTTTGGCCAGACAGGCAAAGGCCCGTCCGTCCACGGGCTGCATTGGGCAGCTGATCTGATCTGGCACTCGTGGCAGGCGCAGAGGCCCGTGGAGGAAGGGGGCAGTGGGAGCCTGGCCCCGGGGGGAGCACGGCCCAGCCACGACTCCACTTCCTTGGCATGGGGCAACCTGGCTCCAATTTAGCGACAAGGGGGAAGGGGGCCTGGCCAAGCACTGGTGTAGGGGGAGTGGGTGTGGGAATTTGGCAGCAGGGGAGAGTGCTAGTATTAACTGCCATTAACCCCCCCACCACCAGATTTCTCGACCTGTAGGGAGCCTTGTGGGCTAGATGCAATGGCTCTGCGGGCCAGAGGCAGAGCACCCCTGAGCTAACTAGTCCCTTCTAAACTCATTCCACAGGTGCTAACCACCCTCTCCTTTTTAACTGTCTTTATGTTTCACTAATCAAAATGTTATCCTCCTGCTGAGTACCTGTCAGCAGCAACAAGAGCCAGGTTCAATTCTGGGGTACTAAATATAGTTCACTTTGGCCCAAGCCCCAACCTAGGCCACCTAGGAAACACTAAATGAACTACTAGGGTATCCAATAACACCAACAACCCTTCCGTCGGAAGCAGTATGAATGAATACAAACCCCTGACTTATTACGGAAGCAAACACCAGAACACAATGTACGTCAAGAAAAAAACAAAACCCTCTCCTGGTTCAAAGTATACCTTGTATCACCCCTACCGGGAATCCTTTGACCTCAGGCTCGGTGGTCTGAGAGTGTGGGAGTCTGGACCCAAAAGAGGTTAGTCCCTGGGAATTTGGGGGCATCGTCTCCCTCAATGTCACCGGCTAGTGGGGGGTACCGGTTCCGTCTGCCTTGCAAAGGGAGTTGATGTTACTTTGCCAAGCTGCTGGGGAGCGTGGATCTCTTCTCCTGCCAGAGTGGCTGTGAGAGTGTGTTACCAGCTCCTGCCCTGGATTCCACAGTCCAAGCCCCACACAGTTACCTGACTCGAAACCCTGACTGTACCATCTGGCCCGGGGGTAGGCAAAATGTGGCCCGAGGGCCAGATGCAGCCCACCAGGCCATTCTATCTGGCCTGCAGGGCCCCTAAAAAATTTAGAAAATTAATATTTATCTGCCCCTGGTTGCCTGTCATGTGGCCCTCAATGGCTTGCCAAAACTCAGTAAGCAGC